AATATATAAAAAAAAAAAAAAATATATATATATATATATATAATAAAAAAGAAAAATATGGTTGTCATATGCTTTGTCTCAGTTATTTACTTTAGGGTGTTTAGGTTACTTAGTTGTATTTCAGGTAAATGTATCTGTTCAGGTTTCATGTGGTCACCCTAGAATTTATTTAATTTACCAATTAAAACGTATTTATTTATTTATTTTTGCACCCCAAAATACTACTGTGGTTGCAGAAATATATTGTATAATGAGATTATACATTTAAAAAAAAGGTATAAGTAGTTTTTTCAAGACTGTGCAGATGTTTTGAGACACATCCCATGTCTGTCTGGCATCTTTAGCCTCTCTCATCTGTGCTCATCTTTTATTCAGTGTGTAACAACAGTCATCCTTTACGAGAGGAAAGACGGGCCGCGATCACTCCAAGACCTTCAGATTTTTACCAAAAGTGAGTGCTTTTATTTAACATGAATACCCTGTTGTTGTTTTCTGCTAAAGGTTGTTAGTAGTATATACGTGCTGTAAATCATGATTTGCTTGTGCTACAGTTTTAGAAGCCATGAGAGATGACGGCGATAAAGTCCCAAGTCTCCTCACCGACTACATCCTCAAAGGTAACAGCAATCAACGAAAAGCATTCAGTTTAAGAATAGCGTTCTGCAGTGATGACGTGTTTTATAGGCCAACCGTAAGTTCACATCATCCTGGTTCCCTCGACAAATATCCAATAGGATTTTTCCATTGAGTTTTGGATTACTGCAGAAAATGAGCTCTGTGACCAACAAACGTTTATGATTCTTTCAAAACAAGTAAAAGCATCAAAAAATCACATCAGGTGTTACTCATGTGTTTTATGTAGTAGAATAAAACGTGAAAATATCTTGAGCTTGTGTTCGACACAGACATTATTTGTGACCCTGGAGCACAAAAGCAGTGTTAAGTCGCTGGGGTATATTTGTAGCAATAGCCAACAATAAATTGTATGGGTCAAAATTATTGATTTTTTTTTTATGCCAAAAATCATTAGGATATTAAGTAAAGATCATGTTCCATGAAGATATTTTGTAAATTTCCTACTGTAAATATATTAAAACTTATTTTTTGATTAGTAATATGCATTGCTAAAAACTTAATTTGAACAACTTTAAAGATGATTTTCTCAATGTTTAGATTTTTTTGCACCCTCAGATTCCAGATTTTCAAATAGTTGTATCTCCGCCAAATATCGTCCTATCCTAACATACATCAACCATACATTTTAAAAAATTTACACTTATGACTGGTTTTGTGGTCCAGGGTCACATTTTATTCATTTAATCAAAAACCCAATGAAAAAAAACCCTTGACTTCAAGACGCTGGAAAAATTTCTGGATTTTTTTGGCCACAAAAATATCATCCCTTCAGCTTTCTGTTGGCTTTCTTTCAGTTCATGTGTGATTTTAAATTGAATCAGTCACAAGACACAGGATGTTGAATTGAATTGACCAGAAAAGGAATTTTAACAGTTTCACTGAGAATGAGTTTCATTAGTCCAACACAACAAGCTGTATTCCTTAGTGTAGAAGTGTCCCTGTACTGGTGAGATATCATTAGAGAGATAATGTCAGCTCCGCAATTATTGGCATTTCATCAAATAGAGCAAAAATGACAAAACCGATATATCACAGTGGAAAAGGTGTTTATTTTTGTAGTACTTAATCAGCCAGGATTGTTTAAAGGGGTCATATGACATTATTTTGTGTATTTGGTGTAATGAAATGTGTTTATGCGGTTTAAGGTTCAAAAAACACATTATTTTCCACATACTGTACATTATTGTTTCTCCTCTATGCCCCGCTTTCTGAAACGCATTGATTTTTACAAAGCTCCTCGGTCTGAAAAGCGAGGTGCGCTCTGACCAAGAGCTTGTAACACTCCAAAGAGAAAGGAAAAATTGAAATCGCATCATATGACCCCTTTAAAATAAAAACGTAATTGTCTTTTTTTTTTCTTCTCGCAATTGCAAATTTATTTCTCACAATTCTGACTTTACTTCTCAAAATTGCAAGTTGTGAGCTTATTGACTTTCTTGCAATTCTAACATATTTGTTTCTCAGAATTAAGAGATGCAAACATTGCAATTGCACATTTATAAATTGACATTAGAAGAATAATCCGAATTTTGAGATTTAAAATCACATCTGTGGCAAAGAAAGTCAGAGTTGTGAGTTGTTGAAAAGTCGTTTTTCTATTCCATTGCAGAAACAAGCTTCTATATGGTCCTGTGAAATTTTGCAGATTTAGATTCAAATCCAAAGTTTTTACGGATTATGATTCTGCATCATGTTTGCTCTCAATTCGGTTCTGACTGACTCACAACACTGCTAATTAATAGTGATTGTGTTTTACTGCAAAGGCAAACTGAACGTATCATCATGAAAAGTCATCTTAATGTAGAGTTACTTTGCTCCGCTTACATTTAAGCTGTTCACTGCCTGCATGGCGTCTGCTAAGATCATTATCATCTCCTCCTCCTCCTCCTCCTCCTCCTTGCAGGATTTGTTCCAGTTCTGGTCTGTGAGGTTTGTAAGAGGTTTAGTTAATGAGTAATGAGCGTTTAGATCATACTGTGCCTGTGTTTGCTTTATAATGCATCTACCTGCCGTTACTATAGCAACAGACAGCATTCGACTGCTGAGTGAGTTACAGCTTCTGCTCAGATACTGTGTGGTGTGTCTCTTTTTAGTGGCCCAACACATATCTAAGGTAAAGAATTGTCAGTTCTGTCGTTATTTACTCACCCTCACGTGGCTTCAAACCTGTATGACTGTCATATATATACTACTGGTCAAAAGACATCTCTTCTGCTCACCAAGGCTGCATTTTAATCAAAAATACAGTGATATTGTGAAATATTATTACTTTTTAAAATAACTATTTTCTATGTGAATATATTGTAAAATGTAATTTATTTCTGTGATCAAAGCTGTATTTTCAGCATCATTACTCCAGTCTTCAGTGACACATGATCTTCAGAAATTATTCTAATATGCTGATCTGCTGCTCAAGAAACATAATTTCTGATTATTATCAATGTTGAAAACAGTTGTGCTGCTGAATATTATTGTGGAAACATGACACATTACCATTCAAAAGTAATATTAAAAAAATAAATTAATACTTTTATTCAGAAAGGTCGCATTAAATTAATCAAAAGTGTCAGTAAAGACATCTATAATGTTAGAATAACAATAAAAAGATTGCTATTTCAAATAAATGCTGTTCTTTTGAACTTTCTATTCATCAAAGAATCCTGAAAAAAGTTTCCACAAAAATAGTATGCAGCAAAAACTGTTTTTAACATTGGTAATAATAAAAAGAACCATAATTAATCATTGATCACCAGTAATAATTGATAATAACTCAGCAGCAAATCTTCATATTAGAATGATTTCTGAAGGATCATGTGACATTGAAAACTGGAGTAATGATGCTGAAAATCACAGATATAAATGACATTTTACAAAATATGTACATAGAAACCAGTTATTTTGAGTTGTAATAATAATTTGCAATATTACTGTTTTCACTGTATTTATAAACAAATAAATTCAGGCTTGTGAGGCATTTTTCCCAAAACATTAAAAATCATAATTATTCCAAACATTCGACCAGTAATGTAGAAAGAGAGTCCTCCACGCAGCAGTTCAGCAGCAAAAGCTTTTGTATGGCTTCAGAAGTGTGCCTAAATTATAGTGTGCATGTTATATGGTCTACTTTTATGATACTTTTATAGTTTTTTTTTTTTATTCTTTTAGGATCCTTATAGACATGGTCACTATAAACCTGAAAAAAGCATCATTAAAAATCTTCAGAAATTCTCCTTTGGTTTTTCCCTTTACCATTACATAAAGTAAATACTGCTCCGCTCTCTAAATACTGATCATTTCTAATTATATATAGCATCATTTGAACATGATTTCTCTTTTTCAGTGCTCTGGCCCACCTAGAGAGAGTTCCTGGAGGGGTTTATCACTGTGTTCCTCAGATCTGACCGTCTTCTGTTCATCACTGCATGATGTGTTTGACTTCAGCTGCAGGACTCAGCTCTTCTGCTCTGAGGTGTTGGACTGTATTGTTCATGGTTTGGCAGATTGAAGTATTCAGTGTGTGTGTGTGTTTGTAGGTCTGTGTGATTAGTTTCAACACAGTAAGCTGATTTTTGTTACAAATGGCCGCGTCGGTTCTTACAGTAAAAATAAGGTGGACAGTACTAATGTACTAATGCAGCATGAGTCCCGTCAGAGAGACGTGTGGGCAGAGTAAAGTTATTACCATCCCATGATAAGCAGCAGTTTATCCACGTACAGTATGATCTAAATCAGTGGTTCTCAGCTAGTGGATCACAGCCCAAAAATGAGCTGCCGGCCTGTTCTAATGAATACTAAATAATAATATATATAATATCAATCAAATTTAATAAAAATTGAATGGCAATATTAATCAAATTTAGTGATTAATTTGAATAATAATAATAATAATAGCAATAATAATATACTGTGTGTATGTATATATATATATATATATATATATATATATATATATATAGTGAAATCAAATGTAGTGATTTATTAAAATCATCATTAAATTTGATTTCACTACATTTAGATTTTTATATAAATGTGTATATAAATTCCCCACTGAATTTTACAGATTATGATGCTGTCATTTTTAATAATTTTGCATGTGGTTGGGACTATGCAGTTCATGGTAAAATTATTAATTCAATTAAGTGATTGATTTTAAGGATATTTTGTTTTACTTTTTGTACTTTTGTAACTTGACATCCAATGTAAAATCCTGTATGAATAAGGCCGTAACCATGTCTTAAACATTGGGGCGAGCAATTTATTTATTTTATTTTATTTTTTATTTAAAAAAAAAAAAAGGATGAAAAAATAGAATATGTGCATTCTAGGTCTAATTCTAATTGGGAAGTAATCATTTTGAACTATTTGCAAATAATATTTTAAACACATGCACTTTTATTTGTACGCCTAATATGTTGAAAATGCAAAACGTTTCTTGTCTCGTCACATTCAGCTAGGAATTACCATATTTTCAATTCAAAATATTTGAGAAAAAAATGCCAAGTAGTTTGCATCTCTGGATATTACTGTTGGCCATTTAACATTTCTATCATAAAGCAGTTGTCAAATATTAAAAGCTACTTCCATCTTACCTCATATTCTTCCAATGTTAAAACCAAGCCGGCAACCTTCCGGTCTCTCTCGTGAAACCAACACGGAAGTGACTAAAACTGCAATTCATCGACTGGCCGCTAGAGGCTGGCTCCAAAAGGGAGTCAGTCCCATAGACTCCCCATGTTAAAATGCCCAACTTTACAGCAGAAAAAAACATGTTTACAGCCTGGTTCAAAAAGTGGTTTTGGTCTATATAGCTAATTTTGCCCTTCATGACAACTGTGAAGGGGGTGAATTTTTTTATAACTCATCCATTTAAATAATATTAAGCCTTAAATTTCTGCATAATTAAGGGCGTGGCCACTTGAGTAACAGGTGGATTGCCGCTGCTGTCACCACTGTCGAGCTAGGTGGGCGTGGTTTCAGCAACCAGCTCCCGCCTCTTTGCCCATTTTTGATTATCCGGGAGTGACGCGCTGCCAAGATGGCGACGGCCGACTCCGCCCATTTTGAGCTTCAAAAATGCTCTTCAGAAACCTATGGGTGACGTCGCGGACACTACGTCCATGTTTTTATACAGTCTATGGTTAAAACTGATGATTCAGGCTGGAATATGTGCTCTGCTTCTATGAACTGTCAAGCCCCGCCTACTTTGATTTGATTGGCCGTCTTAATCATTTTGACATTGATGAGCGCTGATGTGGCTCGTGCGGTACGGTTCAGTACAGTACAGAATGGTACACAATTATGTCCGTTTCCATTGTCAGAAATTGTGAATGGTACCAAAAATAGTGTAGCATCTGGACCAATCAAAAACACAATTTTTCATTTGATTTAACAAATCAGTTATTCATTAGATTAACAAGTCGTCACAGACCCCTCACCCAATAGACTGGGCACCAGGATGTCTGCGAATGACCACAGGCCACTGGTTACCACGGCAACCCCGACACCTTTGCTAAGACCAGAGCCATTTACGACCTGATGGAATGTGAGTAGGGAAAATCACTGCATGTTCCATAGCAAGAGGCACAATGCACAGTAGAAATTGACTTTTCTACTCTAAATATTTATAATTAATTATAACTAGTTATGATTAATTATTCATATTTCCCTTATGAGCTGATTCGCTACAATAGCGAACCGTACCATACCACTTTTTTGGGACCCTTCCATTGGGGTAGCTAAAGGGTGGAGCTAGACTCACTGCAGAACGCTGATTGGTTGACAGAGAATCGTCACTTGCGCGTGCTACAAGGGGAATGACTCATGCGTGTTGGGTTTGTTTACATCAGAGTGCAAAAACACAAAAAGTATAACAGTGTATATTAGAATTTTATATTTTCACACACACACACACAATGTCGCGCGAGAATGACGTCGATCACTACTTTCCAGGCATACACCACGCCTGTCAAGTAAGGGTACTGTTGGTGGTGGAAACGCAAGCCGGATCAGGGTTTACCGTCCCGAAGCGCACTGCACTGAACTGTACAGGACTGTATCATTCGCTGGAAATGAGCCATTAGACCGCTGAGCCAGACCGGCCTAAGAATGTCACTTTCAACAAACTCTGTGTAATGGAGAGCAGCAGAGCAGTGCACGAATTTCAAATATTGGGGTAAACAGTTAGGCCATTTCTAATCAGTAGGTGTGATTTTCCCATTAATATCTATGGTGGTTACGGCCCTGGTCCTGAAGCAAAACCAGCTGAGAACCACTGATCTAAAGCATGCTGTATTACTCATCATGGGGTGTTGTAGTTCCAATCCTAAGGGTTGATTAGTTGTCCTGTAACGTGTGTGTACTTATCGGTCTTTTAAATGTGTGTTGTTCTTCTCAGATTGATTGAACTCGAGCGAGTGAATCAACTGATAATGCCTTACATCCCTAAACTTCAATTCACTCACAAAACCAACTCTAAAAGAGCTTTACTCCAGTGATTTTGCTGTTACGGTTGTGTGTTTGAATCTATGCACGGCACTGACTAGCCATTCACCTGCATGAAACAGACAGACCGGAGCGTTACAGTATCTTGAGACACATTATGCCTTAAACAAATCAATAAATCTACATGCTGGTGAGATTGTTATGGTGCCTGTGTTTGAATTTCAGATCTGCTTGTGTGTCTGTTAAAGGAATGGTTCACCCAAAAATGAAAATTTGCTGAAAATGTGCTCACCGTCAGAGTCCAAACAGCTGATAAAAACATCACAATAATCCACACCACTCCAGTCCATCAGTTAATGTCTTGTGAAACAAAAAGCTGCTTGTTTAATATATAATATAATATAATATTGCTTTCTCCAGTGAACAAGTCTATTCTGACGTTCTACATTATTCTACATTTCTCCAAATCTGTTCCCATGAAGAAACAAACTCATCTACATCTTGGATGGCCTGAGGGTGAGTAAATTCTCAGCATATTTTCATTTTTGGGTGAACTATTCCTTTAAATTGGTTTTATAACAAGACATCGTAATTATGCTGGACAGCAATCAGTTGTCAATTTCAGAGGTTTCATTTGTTCTTTGTGTTAAATTAACAATGAACGTTATTGATGTTGCGTTTAACAATTTTGTATAAACTATGGCAATTTGTTTCTTACTTTTGTTTATACTTTTCAAAGCAAAAATTTAAATATATATTTGGAAAAACATTGCTCTAGTTTTCATTCTTTTCTGCTTTAATGAAAAATCAATATTTGTTAGATAAAAAAATCTATATTTTCTAACCAAAGAGTTCATGGTAGCCATTGAATTCCATAGTATTTTTCCCCCATAGTACGGAGGACAAACAACTGTTTGGTTACCAACATTCTTCAAACTATCTTCTGTTGTGTTCAACAGAAGAAAGAAATCATTTTCATTTTTGGGTGAACTATCCCTTTAAGTCAATTTAAAGTCAGTCTGTAAGTGCACACAAGTCTTGACTAAAGAAAACTATTGAACATTGTTCCAGCATTATTTCCAGGAAGAAATATTTAGTTAGAGCACTGCAGGGCATGTTGAAAAGCCTATAGGCTTGTCTTGTCAGCTAAATTTAAACCGTTAAACAATTATAAAAATGTAATTTGATCATTTCTAACAACATTTCTGAAGGATCATGTGACACTGAAGACTGGAGTAATGATGCTGAATATTCAGCTTTGATCACAGGAATAAATTACAGTTTACAATATATTCACATAGAAAACTGTTATTTTAAATTGCAATAATATTTCACAATATTACTGTTTTTACTGTGTTACTGCCTTGGTTCTTAAACGTTTGACTGGGTAGTGTAAAACTACTTGCCTCAAGCTGACATTTATGAAAAATACTCAAAAAAATGAACAAAGTTCATGTCATACGTAACTGCTGCATGTGCTTTTAGTCAACACCCATAAAATCCACCCATGTTTTTCATTTATGATTCTCTGCTTGCCAAGTGTCTGTGGAAAATGGACAGATACTGACACTCCACCCAGTTCAGATACTGATGTAATACAAAATTATAAACTCAAAATAAAAAAACCCTGTGCAACAGTGCAGAGTAAAACAATAACACAATAATAAATACAACATATTATTACTAATAATAACTTTAATAAGAAGCACTGATACACTCATTTGAAAATTATTGAAATTATGCAATGCAAAACAAGGTAATACTACTTCGACTGTAGTAGTAATAATAATAAATACCAATAATACTGTCAGATAACTGCAATAATGTAGCCCAGAAGGCCAGAAAAAGGCTTGTTGCTGTGTTTAAGGCGCTGGTAAATGAGAATCATCTGCTGATCGTGCTGTTACGCAGCTGATGATGGGCAGGTTCACTTCGGCTGAACACATCAGTGTGCTTCGTGTCTCAAACGCTTCCAGCTTCACGTTCAGTGAGGAAGATGGGTTTCAAAGCCGTGAAGTTTCTTTTCTGTGTGATTTGTCTGGTGCGCTGCAGCCCGGAGCAGAGCTCCACAAAGAAAAAGAATGGCAAAAAAGGTAAAATCATTTAACTGTCTAGCTACAAAATATCTACACAGCATAAACCATTTCTATACCTACATTTTGTTGTTTGTGTGTTTTTATGCAATTGGTAGTTTGCATTAATTAGTTTGTACAAAATAAATATTTTACAAAATTAGCTCATTCTTCAATTTTTAGACTTTTTAAATCATTCTAATTTAGAAATGTATTGCATATTGTAAATCTAAATGGACCTTGTTTGTGTATAATGTATAATGCTGTGCTTGTTTGCTGGTAATGAAGAGTTGAACAGTGCTGCTATCGAGGAGCTGAAGAAACAGATTGAGCAGATTGTGCAGGAACTGAATCTGCTCAAGGAACAACAAGCTTTACAAACAGGTACGGAGTAAAGCTGCATCTGGAAAGACATTGAAATATGTACACTAGCGGTCATAAGTTACACATACTCATTTTTAAATTATTATTTTTACTCATTATAAATATTAATATTATTGATTTGTTTTTAGTAATAACAATAAACCCATCAAAATCGAGGAAGTCAAGTGTGTCCTTGAACTTTAAGTCGAGTTCTTTAACTTGCTAGTGAAACATCAACTCTAATTAAATATTCGTGGTATATTGTAAACATTTTTAATGATGTAGCAGCAGTGTATGTTCAGTGATTGACACGCAGACACACAACAACAAGAAGCATACTTCAATTTTACTTTAATTTAAGTACAATTAAAGGGTTAGTTCACCCAAAAATGAAAATTAGGCTGCGTTTTACTCACCCCCGAGGCATCCTAGGTGTATATGACTTTCTTCTTTCAGACGAATCCAGTCAGAGTTATATAAAAAATTGTCTTTGATCTTTAAATCTGTTTAATGACACTCAGCGGGTGTTTCATGCATCAGTCCAAAAGAAGTTAAATAAAATGCACCCATCCATAAAAAAAGTGTCTCACACGGCTCCAGGGGTTGAACAAAGGCCTTCTGTAGTATTCTTTACAAATCCTCGTTTTGTACTTCTAATTAGTGTCCGTTGTTTTGTTTTGATCTCTCCGCTGCGCTTCCACGTTCGTCACTTCTGAGCGCCGCATGCGCAAAGCTGGCCTCATACGTCATTCCCCCGGAACTGCTTCTGTTTACAACAGTGAGCGCAAGCTAGATTCAAGTGATTATTACGTTTTGAATATGGATATGTTTCTTACAAAAACGCATCAATTCGCTACAGAAGGACTTTGTTCACCCCCCCCGAGCGAGACTCTTTTTTTATGGATGGGCGATTTTTATTTAACTTCTTTTGGACTGAAGCAATACAACACCCGCTGAGTGGCATTAAACAGCTTGAAAGATCAAAGACAGTTTTTTATATAATTCCGACTGGATTCGTCTGAAAGAAGAAAGTCATATACACCTAGGATGCCTCGGGGGTGAGTAAAACGCAGCCTAATTTTCATTTTTGGGTGAACTAACCCTTTAAGTAAAGCTCAAGTATATTTTCCAAGTATAATTTAGGTAGTAAGTATGCTAAAATCAATGTAATAGTATACTGTACTTGTAAGTGTACTATTTCAATCGTTCTTGGGACTAAATTGGCTAACTTTTTCAGAACATCTCAAGGTTTCCTTTGTATTGCAACTATACTGTGAATTCTACTAGACGTGAACTTATAGGTTAGGGTTACTGTTAGTTTTCTAGCAAACTTTGAAGTATACTCTCAGTAAGCTACTAGGTTTTATAGTTTTTATACAGCAAGTAAAGATTTCTTTAAGTAAGCTTAATTTCATACTTATAGTTTGCTATTTATATTTTTTTGTCCTTTAAGTATATATATATATATGCATTTTATACTTGAAATCTGTTAATTTTACATTACAAGTCTGCAAGTACAGTTTTTTTTTTAATATATACTGTTAAGTTTAAGTACACCACAAGTGCACATTCAGTCCAGTTAAGTGCACTTCCTTTTCACAAGGGTGATGTCTGCAGAGGAATTTGTTGTTGATGTACTTGCTCCTGGAAAACATTCTCTCTTCTCTATGAGACATGAGGTGTGTGCAATTCAGTGTTGTCTGTTGTGTGTTAGTCACAGCTCATAACATAAAGAGCGTGTCCATCAGAGCCGTTCAGGGTAATGACCTGGAAGCACACATCCTAAACTTATTACTTTTCTATCCTCTTCAGTTTGCCTAAAAGGCATCAAGATCCCAGGCAAGTGTTTTCTCGCGGACACGACGAAGAAGAGCTTTCATGCCGCAAACGATGACTGCATTGCTAAAGGAGGAACGCTCAGCAGCCCTCTTTCAGGAGATGAGAACGACCAGCTGTATGATTATGTGCGGCAGACCGTCGGGCCAGAAGGGCACATCTGGTTGGGTGTGAATGACATACTAAAAGAGGGCGAGTGGACCGACCAGACGGGCTCACCGATACGCTTCAAGAACTGGGAATCAGAGATCACCCATCAGCCCGACGGAGGCCGCGGCCAGAACTGTGCTATCCTGTCCAGCACAGCCAATGGGAAGTGGTTTGACGAGGACTGCCGTGGAGAAAAGGCGTCTGTCTGCCAGTTCAACATTGTCTAATCCACTTGTAGAGCACCATGCTATAGAATGATGGATTAGACAGATTTTTTCAGTAGAATGTGTAACAAAAAGTTCAGTTAAAGGTACACTATGTAAGATTTTTGCATTAAAATATCCACAAATCACTAGCACAATATATTTTGTTGACTTGTGTACTTACATTAAGCCAAATACTGCCAACGTTTAAATTCAGAAAAGATCCACAATTTTAACCAGTGAAATGTGTCGCATGTTAATGGTGCACATATCCATCGTTGACGGTGGTGAACACAGCAACTTCCAAGATTCAAGCTATGTCTTAGTTGTTGTTTTGAATAAGCCAGCTTTAGTGGCAAAACTTACATATTTGCTGCGTCCAAAATCGAAGACTTCCCTACTATAGAGTATACAAAAAGCAGTACACCAAAAGAGTAGTAAGTCTGAAATCATAATAGTATTAAAAAAAAAAAAAATCCTGTACAATTCAACCTATCCGATGACAACAATCTCATTCATACATTTTCATACGATCTGCTGATGTCCCACTGACAGTAAGGTTTAGGGGTAGACCTTTATGCTTACATTTTTCCCTATACAAAATCGCCACATCGTAAAATATTTATATTTTCCCCTGAGATAGAGCTGGGGGCTGTACCATGATGGTAGTTGAACAAATTCAGAGTTACAGGATTAGTTTAGAGTTGACAAAACCAAACCACTCCAATCTGGCTTTGTTGGTACCATGATGCTGATCATCAACTTTCTTTGTCAACTCAGGCTTTGATCCTGAGTTTGTGGAGTGCGTGCACATGAATGTGTGACATCAGTGGCGAACAGCCAATCACATGCCTTGAAACACAGAGCAAGTGCGATTCACTCCTCGCGAGATTCAAAGTTTGAGATCAGTTTGAGATCTCTTACACAGAACAAAACCCTCCCTGGAGCAGGTGGAGAGTAAGTTACTAAGGCAATGAACGCCGCTAAAAGCCAAGACACTTTCATGGTACCTAAAACCCAGGATTGGTGCAAACTAAACTGAAACTTAACTGGCTAGACAGCTAATCCGGCTTCATGGTACAGGCCCCCGGAATCTTCCATCAGTTGATCTTGACACTTAAGGCAAGCTCACACTACATAATTTTTGGCTGGATTTTCGCAGACGGATTTCCAAGGTCTGCCACAAAACCCCCAGAACATGGCCTGATCACAAACCGTTTTCAATCATATTTCCATCTTTTTCTAGAGAATCCATCTCTTAACTTTTCAAGTTGTTAATAAATAAACAGACATTTTAATATCAAAAACATACCATCTTTAAAGCGAGCAGCCTGTTCACACATAAAATCACTAAATATAAAAACATCTTAGATGGACACCTAAACAAAACGTTCGTTTACAGTAGAAAATTCGATTTTTTACCCTCACACACACAGTCTGGTTTCATAGTTCCCTTCCTCTTCGGAAGTCTTCGGTGAGCCAGATGTAGTTGATTGTCCCTGAACGTAACCACAGAGCTCATTGTCAAACAAGGCGTTGCTTTTAGTGACAAGGTTTTCACCGTTTCTGACTGGTAAAGCTGGGGCACTCAGAGGTGGATCACTCTCATCTGTAGTGGCTTCTTTATATTCTTCTTTTTCAGCATCATCTTTAAGCAGATGGCTATACACTAGAGTTTCATCGATGTACACGTAAGTGTGAGGATCCTCCTCCTCCTCCTGTGCTTTGGGGATGCCATGCAGGCCTGTGCTGATGTCCCACTGACAGTAAGGTTTAGGGGTAGACCTTTATGCTTACATTTTTCCCTATACAAAATCGCCACATCGTAAAATATTTATATTTTCCCCTGAGATAGAGCTGGGGGCTGTACCATGATGGTAGTTGAACAAATTCAGAGTTACAGGATTAGTTTAGAGTTGACAAAACCAAACCACTCCAATCTGGCTTTGTTGGTACCATGATGCTGATCATCAACTTTCTTTGTCAACTCAGGCTTTGATCCTGAGTTTGTGGAGTGCGTGCACATGAATGTGTGACATCAGTGGCGAACAGCCAATCACATGCCTTGAAACACAGAGCAAGTGCGATTCACTCCTCGCGAGATTCAAAGTTTGAGATCAGTTTGAGATCTCTTACACAGAACAAAACCCTCCCTGGAGCAGGTGGAGAGTAAGTTACTAAGGCAATGAACGCCGCTAAAAGCCAAGACACTTTCATGGTACCTAAAACCCAGGATTGGTGCAAACTAAACTGAAACTTAACTGGCTAGACAGCTAATCCGGCTTCATGGTACAGGCCCCCGGAATCTTCCATCAGTTGATCTTGACACTTAAGGCAAGCTCACACTACATAATTTTTGGCTGGATTTTCGCAGACGGATTTCCAAGGTCTGCCACAAAACCCCCAGAAAATGGCCTGATCACAAACCGTTTTCAATCATATTTCCATCTTTTTCTAGAGAATCCATCTCTTAACTTTTCAAGTTGTTAATAAATAAACAGACATTTTAATATCAAAAACATACCATCTTTAAAGCGAGCAGCCTGTTCACACATAAAATCACTAAATATAAAAACATCTTAGATGGACACCTAAACAAAACGTTCGTTTACAGTAGAAAATTCGATTTTTTACCCTCACACACACAGTCTGGTTTCATAGTTCCCTTCCTCTTCGGAAGTCTTCGGTGAGCCAGATGTAGTTGATTGTCCCTGAACGTAACCACAGAGCTCATTGTCAAACAAGGCGTTGCTTTTAGTGACAAGGTTTTCACCGTTTCTGACTGGTAAAGCTGGGGCACTCAGAGGTGGATCACTCTCATCTGTAGTGGCTTCTTTATATTCTTCTTTTTCAGCATCATCTTTAAGCAGATGGCTATACACTAGAGTTTCATCGATGTACACGTAAGTGTGAGGATCCTCCTCCTCCTCCTGTGCTTTGGGGATGCCATGCAGGCCTGGAAGGAAAGCATGCTCACTGGGATTGTAGACGGACACTGGGGGAGCCTTATTCCTCTTCTTTTTCCTGTGTAATATTAAGATGTGTTGTTAAAAATCAATTATGATACAATACTTGATAGGGATTTAAGTTTGAAGCCTAGTTCCCCAACAAACCAGTGTAGAAAGATTATCTGGAGACTTTCACTGCAACTTCAATCCAAAATGTTTGGATAATAAATAAATTGCTATAACTCTTGAACGGAATGAGACATTTTCAACCATCTTGGTACACGTGCATTGGCTTAAGCCTGGTTCAGACTACACGATTTTAGCCCGATTTTGGCACGATCTGGGGCCTGTTTCAATAAGGAGCTTCAACAAACTGTCGAGTTGAAACTTGAACTCTGAGTCGACTTACCCTGAGATGGGAAACTCTTGAGTTTTCGGTTTCAGAACAGCTGATTTGAGTTAGTTCAATCAACTCTGATTATGCTGACTCTAAGTTAAGCGCGTGCACCACGACTATATCAATGGAGCTTTGAAATTACGATTCACCATGGCAACAGCACTTGACAAAAAAAAGAGGTCTGCATACTTCCGAGTCAATACATAAGTTTAATTCTTAATCACTGTTATAATATCAGAGGTGAAAACGGGCAGTACCGTAATTTATTGGACTAATATTCATTTTCATGGTATCCCACAGGCAAAAAAAAAGTGAATTTTTCTTATTTTGCAAATTATCTGCCAATGGGGTAAGAAATATAATCTTGTTTACATTAAGGGGCCATTCTACAGTATTGGTGCAAACTGCTGTCCCACAACCAAAAAAACACATTTAAATATGGAGCTTAAAATATGACAAAACTATTTGAATTGTGTAAATTTGAATTATTGACAAGTGTCATTTAACAAAAGTGAATTTGACAATTCAAATTCAAATAGTTGTGTCATATTTTAAGCTCCATATTTAAAAAGCATTTAAGTATTCAAATCTTAGATGTTTACTAAGATCCTTCTATTATCTACCCACAATAACATTTAAAATATTAGTAAGCTCAATATATATAAAATAATATATATAAAATCATCATTTATTGGGTACTTTCAATTAGGAGGCGGCTGTCCCGAACCCTAACCCCTAAATTTCAACTTAGGAAAATTATATTGAAATAATTTTTGTATTTTTTTCCATTGTTGTTTTTAAAAATATATATTTTTGGTTCTTTTACAAAGTGCAGTTCAAAAAAATATTTATTTTACATTTTCTTTGTAAATTATGACAATTTATGTAAAAAAAAATGTGTCCTGCATTTTCATGTCACTACCGAAACAGTCTATGTTTTAGTCCATTGGCTGAGACTGAAATAAACTACACCCCTACATTTATGATCAGGAAATATTTGTGTGTCACTCTCTCTCATAGCTACAGGGTGAGTAGATTGGCCCCATCATTTTGAGATAAATGTGTTCAAAAGTCTGTGTGTAACTCTAAGGAACGTCACTACCGAACACCTTTTTTCTGCAATTAAGCACACTTTTTTGGGAGTTTTTCCATATTTAATTTTTATGTGTGTACAACTGTTCAAAACTGTGCTAGCTAACCATGTGCTGATTAGCGTCTTTGAGATTCAAAAGTATCTAAAATTGTCACTAACGAAACATTTGGTAATGAAACATGTCATTGTTTCGGTAGTGACAAAAGGGAACACATAATCCTCATATCTGGGGGAAATAAACACAATTTTAGTACAGTTATGCAATTGTTTTGTATTTTAGCATGTTTTGGTATGCAAGTTAAAATTCTGTAATGTGATGTGGCGCTACCAAAGCATTACTGTACCGAAAATGTGCAGTCACTACCGAAACATGGGATGTTTTGTCTCAAGAATACTGAATTATCAATTAAGATGTTATGATAGTTTTTGGTTCAGTGTTTATTCGAACTAATGAATCCTTAATCTGTATGATCAACTTTTTGCCTTTTACAAAGAAAAATTGGGTTCAAAATACAACAAATCTCATAAATTACACTTGAAATATTGTTAAAAATGTAATTGTTATTGATTTAGCTCAGAAAAAAATTTATAAAATAGCAAAAAAAAAATATATATTTACAATTTAACGCTTCTAATTAAATTATTATCACTGTGTTTCGGTAGTGACACATTTGGGAAGAGGACAAATATTCCAAAACCTTCTGAAAATACAATATGAGAATTACTTGCGCAATTACTAGAAATGTGTACCTTGGATATTATACAATTTGCATCATTAGACCACTGAATAGTATGTGAGTGCGCCATCTATTGGTCAATACTAAATAACAGTGTGCCACAGAATGACAAACATATCTATATATATATATATATATATATATATTAATATATAATTTATATTATATATAAATATTAATGTTCTATATAAACAAAACATTTTTCTTGTGTGTGTATATACATAATAAATATACACCGTACACACACGTATATCATGTAACAGTTTTTGGTTCAATGTATATTCAAACTAATGAATCCTTAATGTTGAAATCAGTATGATCAACTTTTTGCCTTTTACAAAGAAAAATTGGATTCAAAATACAACAAATCTCATAAATTACACTTGAAATATTGTTAAAAATGTAATTGTTATTGATTTAGCTCAGAAAAAAATTTATAAAATAGCAAAAAAAAAATATATATTTACAATTTAACGCTTCTAATTAAATTATTATCACTGTGTTTCGGTAGTGACACATTTGGGAAGAGGACAAATATTCC